TCTCCATATACTAGCTCTTATTGTTCTGCTTCAACAGACAGCCTACCCTGAGCTAGGAGCAATGCATCTCACAGCGCTTCCCCACTCTGGAAGCAGTTCATGCATTAGCACAGGCCTTCTCCCTAGTGGATGGCAGGGTTTGTGCCTCCTTCACTTTGTCTCCAACACCTGGCACAGTGCTTTGGTCTGTGCTCAGGAAATGTTTGCCGAAGACACCCACGAAGATTGGAGCTCAACCCTTGTTATGCCATGACAATGAGAGTAAAGGAACCAAGAACATCCCAGTTCAACCCTGAGTTAGGAGATCTTTTCTGGGACATGCCATGCAGACCAGACAATTGCAGACAATCCCACAGCAGGGCTACCAGAAACCATTCACTGTTTTCTAAATAAAGAATCTGATGTTTGAAATCTCAAAATGCCTTCACATGATCATCATAGGAAAATTCACAACTGTGTTGGACTTCCTCTTTACGGTTTGTAACTGTTCTTATTTTAATTACATTTTGTGGGGCCTGGAGGGTGGGGTTTTTCATAACCTTTTCATTGCTTCAGCCTCTACAGAGCAGCCCATTGTCCCTCTGAGACCTCCCTCTGGCATCCCTCCTGCATCTGAAAACTCTGTCACCTCAGGGGGAGAAAAAAAGTGAAGATTCTCTTCTTTCTCAGTCCTGCCAATTTAAGGCATGATTTCAGAGAAATCTCTAAGCCATTGTGTGCCTTGCTTCCTGCAATAGGAAGGCGGAAAGAATAACCATTTAGCACCTCATGACTGGTGAGAAATAGCTGGTGGTTAATGAATCAATGCAAAGAATGTTTCAGATACTGTTTTCATTATAATGCCCCATTTTCAACTGCGGAGAGCTGAAGGTCCAGGGGTTGGTAAAGGAAGGCACTTCAGTGCTCCAGGAGACACCAGGTCTTACTGGTCTCCTGGGAGGTGGGGGGCAGGGGAGATACCTGGAGAGGGACTTTCCCCCCTACAAAAGCCCCTCCACCTGCCAGAGTTTCCACACAGCTTGTGAAGCACTGATGACGTTCAACCAGCTCCCTTGGCAGAGCTGTATTTATTTCAAATTATTCAATTACTCAACTCAACCAGATGAGCCAGTTACAAGTAACCCATCTACCCTCATCGTCTCTTTTGGAATTATCTCAGAATGAATTTCTCATTTTTGAAATAGTTTATATTATTTTGAACATATACTGAGCACCTTTATAGACTTCTTTTGTTTAATGGATGTTAGTATGACTATATTCTGTTCTGTGAATGGAGATATAATTTGGTTCTGCAAATTCAGAAGGTTATGGTCACTGCAAAAATGTCCCACCAAGTTTAGAGGCCCATTTGAAAGTGTTCAATGTATTGCAAAACGATTTATCCAATAATCATTTATTAAGTGCCCAACTAAGGAGCCCTGGGGACAGTGAGGGTTAGAAATGCATTAAAAAAAAAAAAAAAAAAAGGCCCCACCCTCAAGGGGCCAGATGCAGGATTATTATTACAGTAGGCGTCTAACTAGAATTGCTGCATTCTGCTCAACATTTCCTGCTTTTGTTGTTTTACTTATTTCAAAATGCAGGACCTATGGGCAGTCCTGAGACAGAGGTACATGTTCCCTTATGTTGCCTCAACATAATCAATCCCTTTGGCAACATTTGGACGGCACAAGGTTTGGAGCTGAGAAGAACAGGTCTGTCCCCCTCCCCAGGGAGATCCATAGCAAATGCAACCAAATGGAGAGGTTGTAGCTGTTAACTCTTAAGCCCTCCATGAGCTGCTGGCCCACCAGGTCTCATTTGTGGCTTCTTTTGACCTACAGATTTGTCCAGCAAACTACAGCATTTAAGTTCTTTCTTATTTGTTATTTCATTTGATTCTTGCAAGAACCCAGTAAGGCATTAAGTGTATTAACCCCACAACACAAATAAAAAAAACTGAGGCCCAGAGATGGGCCAAAAGGTCACCCAGCAGTACATGGGCGCCAAAGACCCCAGGCCCACGGAGATCTCTGGTGTTGCTTGTACCATCACCCACCCACCCCCACGTCTCTGACAAGACCACTATGTTCAATCCTTCACAGTGGCCAATGTCACAAAGTTGATTTAATCATTTCTATGAATGCCCCTTTGCTCTTCTCCTGGTTTAAGCAGAAAGCTTTAAGTTTGGAAGGCATTTTCCAAAAATGACTTAAAACTTACTTCCTGACTTGTGCTTTCAACTTAATCTCTGATCTGTTTCTAACTCTGTACATGGGATTTCTGAATTTGCACAAGCAAATAAGGGAAGGCCACCTGCTTTGGGGTAGATATCTCAAAAGTGAAGAGATGCAGGCTTTTAAGGGCACTATTTACATAACAAAATGAGATGGGGGTGTGGGGACTGTTTGAAACCATTTTTCTCAAAGGTCATATCCTACTTGATTTGTTAACAGCCAAAAACCTGAACTCAAATGTCATCCCCTAGAAAAGTTTGACCCAGTGAAAGAGCAAGTGGTTTCCATGAGATTAAGATAGTCAAGGACCTTCAGACATGAAAGAAGAATAGCTTTAAGTTAAAAAAAAGCCATGAATAAACTTGAAATTTTTGCAGTTTTCCCAATTAAACGATGAATGAGACAAATGAAGTACTTGAGCCGCCTTCTCTCTCTGCTCCTCTTAAGCTGAGAGGTGAATTTAAATCACAAAATACGAAAGTCAACTGTAGGTACCTGTTATTCTAAGGATGCACTTATTGGGAAGACACAGTCCCCATGAAGGTGATTGCCAGGAGGGGATATCTGAAATGCCCACTGCCATGAAAAATCTACCTAGTACCCCCCCCACACCCTCATCGGTGAGGTCTACCCTGTGGTTAGATTCCAGAGATCTCCAAGTCAATGACAGAAATTAAACCCATTTTTATTCACAGGTGTACATTTTTGTGCCATTGTACATAGGCGGTTAAAAATGATCTTCAACAGAACCCCAAACAATCAAAACTGAAAGAAAATCAGTTGCTATTTTAGCATTACAACAAGGAAATGTAAAGTTAAGGAAGAAATTTCCATTAGCACAGTTTCTTGGTGACTAGGTATTTAAACGTATTTGAAAGCAAGACACCTCACAGTTTGGGAAGCTCCGGGTTATAAAAGGTGTGAGTTATAGCCTAATTTCCTGCTGTTTTTTTGCTTCTCCATTTCTACCCCTTAAAAGTTCATGAAGATAAATCTGGAAATATTTAAGAAGTGTCACATTTGGAAATTATTCAAGGTCTTGCCATCTTACACACTCTTTTCCCCTGGGGGGTGAATCCCCTGCCCTGCCCTTCATTACCAAGGGCAATTGTTTAATCACAGAATCTTAGTTTCTCAAGAGATGTTCCACTGCTTCTACTTATTCCCCCGAAGTCACAATCCTTTGTCATAGGACAATCATTTCCACAGCAACCAACTGTGATGTCACAAGCGAGGGGAGGAGGAAATGTTTAGAAAGAAAAGAGAAAGAGAATGTTCTCTCCCACAGGCAAAGGTACCTGAGATTTAAAACCATTGCTTCCCTAATCAAAATATTTTAGCAGGAAGATCCTATGACAAAGCTGCATTTCTTCAAGGTCTCAGCTGTGACATAGGAAGCATTTCAGCAGAAGCTGAAGGGCTGCGTGTTGTGGGTTTAGGAAGGGGTAGAGGTTTTTATTTCATTCTAATTCTGTGCCACTGATATCTGCCAGTAAAATACATTAAACATATTCCAGAAAGAGTTGATTTAGCAGATGAAAAATGTGTCTCCTGAGACCAGAGAAGGTACATTTTCTGTCTTACTATCATTTCCATAATAGGAACAATGTTTACATTTCCTCAGCCCATGCAGTGCCTCTAATGTATTCATGTTCTTCCACTCTCCAGAGGCAGGAATTGAGGTATTTGAGATTTTATTTTTTAGCTACCGCATCAAGCACTTAAGATCTGACAATTGTGATGTGTATTCTCACTTGGTATTAAAAAAATAAAAGCCTCAGTGTTTGCATTTGATTATAGTCTCAGCTTGGTGGCTGATTAAGCAGGAATAGGGAAGGCAACTTTCTTCAGAAACACAGCCTCTGGGTTAATGTAGTGTAAGATTATTGACGGGTGTAGTCACATAATTTTTATTAAATTGAAGAGATTAGCTCTGCTGAAGAATCTCACCATGACAGCAAATTCTAGCCGTAATAATGAGACCTGACACTTCTCAAACCCACTCCAGGGCCCCAAATGGTCTTTTTTTTCTAAATATTCTTTCAGTTCAAGTAAGGGAAGAGCTCCGTTCAAATATTCAGCATATTTACCTGAAATTGAGTGTGCATGGGTTTTTGGTTTTTTGTTTTTTGAAGGATGATACAAAATTGGCATAAACATTTGTAATGTGAGCTTTAGCTGTTTTTTGTTTTTTGTTTTTTTTCACCATAAATGGCACACAAGGTCTTTCTTCCAGTTGCCTGAAATGCACACATAGCTTTTTCTCCAGATAGAGGCCATGGTGCCCACAAAAAGGTCAGCAGAGAAGACCCTGGAACCGTGGAGAGCTGGGCCATTTGTTCATTTAACAGGCATAAAATTGTTGCCTCTTGCCCACCCACCACCCAGACTCAACGTATCTCCCTTATCCCAATTTCCTGAGGAGAAGACTGAGAAAAGATTGGAGGGGGGGGCGGGAACAAATTTTGTAAATGAAAACTGTCCTATTCCACAGACTGAAGCAAGTAGAAAGCATATGCTTGAGAGAGGGGGTAGGAAAAAAGGCACTTTTTCAGAACACAAAGAAGGCAACAAATGAAGTCTATTTACATATGTCATGGGAAGGGGAGGCGACTTGGAGAGGATTAATTAGTTAATGTCTGGCAAGCTGCGCCCCAAGACAAGTTAGGCACAGGTGCTATTGTCACTTATTACTGTTATTAATTAACGGGGTGAACGCCAAACAAAAATAAAGCCCCGCGGCGTGCTTTCACTTCTTAACACCCAATACGATGTCTATTGCAGGAGTGATTCGGGAAAGTTACCTCAAAGGCCATGACCAGCTCGTCCCTGTCACCCTCTTGGCCATTGCGGTCATTCTGGCTTTTGTCATGGGGGCCGTCTTCTCCGGCATCATCGTCTATTGTGTCTGCGACCACAGGCGCAAGGACGTGTCCGCCGTGCAGCGCAAGGAGAAGGAGCTCACCCACTCGCGCCGGGGCTCCATGAGCAGCGTCACCAAGCTCAGCGGCCTCTTTGGGGACACCCAGTCCAAAGATCCGAAGCCGGAGGCCATCCTCACGCCACTCATGCACAACGGCAAGCTCGCCACGCCCGGCAACACGGCCAAGATGCTCATCAAGGCTGATCAGCACCACTTAGACCTGGCGGCCTTGCCCACCCCGGAGTCCACCCCGACGCTGCAGCAGAAGCGGAAGCCCAGCCGTGGCAGCCGCGAGTGGGAGAGGAACCAGAACCTCATCAACGCCTGCACCAAGGACATGCCCCCCATGGGCTCCCCTGTGATCCCCACGGACCTGCGGGCCTCCCCCAGCCACATCCCCAGCGTGGTGGTCCTGCCCATCACGCAGCAGAGCTACCAGCACGAGTACGTGGACCAGCCCAAAATGAGCGAGGTGGCCCAGATGGCGCTGGAGGACCAGGCCGCCACCCTGGAGTATAAGACCATCAAGGAACATCTCAGCAGCAAGAGCCCCAACCACGGGGTGAACCTGGTGGAGAACCTGGACAGCCTGCCCCCCAAAGTCCCCCAGCGGGAGGCCTCCCTGGGCCCTCCGGGAGCCTCCCTGTCTCAGAACGGCCTGAGCAAGCGGCTGGAAATGCACCACTCCTCCTCCTACGGCCTTGACTATAAGAGGAGCTACCCCACCACGAACTCGCTCACGAGAAGCCACCAGGCCACCACTCTCAAAAGAAACAATACTAACTGCTCCAATTCCTCCCACCTGTCCAGAAACCAGAGCTTTGGCCGGGGAGACAACCCGCCCCCCGCCCCGCAGAGGGTGGACTCGATCCAGGTGCACGGCGCGCAGCCCTCCGGCCAGGCCGTGACTGTTTCGCGGCAGCCCAGCCTCAACGCCTACAACTCGCTGACGAGGTCGGGGCTGAAGCGCACCCCCTCGCTAAAGCCGGACGTGCCCCCCAAACCCTCCTTCGCCCCCCTTTCCACATCCATGAAGCCCAATGACGCGTGTACATAATCCCAGGGGAAGGGGTCAGGTGTCGAAACAGCAGGAACGGCCAGGCGCGCGCCCAGTTCGGCGAGGCCCTCCACTTCCTGAGTACCCACCAGACCAAGATGGCCGCGGCGGCGCGGAGGACGCTGGGTCCCCCCCTCGGGGGCGCAGGGGGACTCTGGAAAATTGGGCCACGTGGTGGGGTGAAGGTTTGCAACGCGGGACTCACCTCCATTCTCTGACTTCACTGTCCCCTCACTCCGTGCAGCAGGTCGGACTCACGAGAGACTTGAATTCTCATCACAAACATGAGCCAAAAGCACATACCCACCCCCCCCAACCTTCACACGCATGCGTGCGCGCGCCTGCGCACGCGCACCCACCCACACCCGCACCCACGCCCCACAACCCACGCCCCACAACCCACGCCCACACCCACACCGTGCGCACCTGCAGGGGAACAATGACTGCAACCTGTTGTCCAGGACTGCACCGGGCGCTGCCCACCAGGGCTGGCGTTCCACCGGCAAAACACAAAACACATTTTTAAAAATCATGAAAATTAAAAAGACAAAAAAAAATTAAAAATAAAGAATTCCTTGATAATTCTAACTCAGACTTTAACAATGGCAGACGTTTACTATGCGCAGATACTGTGAAATGCCCACCAGTGTTACAGCTTTCTGTTATTAGCAGATGAATGCCATGTTGGGCAACTATGTCATAGATTTCTGCTCCTCTCTTTTAATGAAATAACGTGACCGTTAACGCAAGTAACTCTTTATTTATTGTTCACCCTTTTTTCCTTAAGGAAAGAACTCTTCCACCTACCATCCTATGAACAGCGCTTCAGAAAGGCCCCTTGAAAGTTAAACTATTTAACGGGAAATCCATTAACTGGAATAATTGAGTTTATTTTTACAATAAATTCACTGAGTAAATAAGTTGGAGCTGCAATTTTGAGCTTTGTGTTTGGACTGTCTGATCTCTAGCTAAAGGAAAAAGTTGAGAGGGGAATATTTATTTGAATCAACCCATTAATTTGCTGGTCAGGTCTCTGGCCCATAACATGCAAAAAATTAATTAGTTTAAAAGTCCTTCCAGATCCTAACTTACAAAGCATCCGGGAGAGGAACTTTTAGAATGACACGTCCTGCGTCCCGTTGCTGCCAACATGGCTTTGTCAGTGGTTCTTACTTTCTGTGAAGGCACCAGCTTGTGATACCCATCTCATTTCACCTTGCATGTGAGACAGCAAACAAAATCCACTAAAGGCGTGAACTAATTAATATGCTGGCTGCTACCTTGCATAAATTAATGGTTTGCTCACACGGGTTTTTCGTGGGGTTACATCTGTGAATAGCCTCTTTTCCACATGTAAATTTGTGCCTTACACCTGAGTTGTGTACACTTGTAAACTGTCGTTATGATAAACTTTCCTCCCGCCTTTTGAAATAAATGCAGATATTTATTTGACCCTCCCTCCCCCCACCCCCACTCCAGCCCTCCGGAAAGATTAGCATCTAGCAGATGGAAGAAGAATGCAGTGGTGGTGGTTAGAAGCCTGCCCCCTGGGAGAGCTAGGCGGCAGCACACCCTCCAATTCACACTTCCTTCTAGTGCCAACTCCAACCACCCTCTGGCCGTGCTACCCAGCATGGACACCAGTGTGGTGGGTGGCAATACCCTGTCTCCCTCCAGAGCTCCCTGCTTCCCTGGTATTCTCAGATCATTTCAACACGGTGGTATCCTTATTGACCAGCGGAGAAGGGACTAACGTCCCAGCCCTCATTTCTGCTGGGTCCACTGGCTGGAGAACATGCCGTGTGCGCAGTTGCTGGGCACCTGGGAGTGTCTCCAAGCCGTGGGCTCAGCACACAAAGAAATGACATGGAAGTAGATGGAGGCGGGCTGGTCCGTGCTGTGATGGAACAGTAACTCCCAAGTACAAAGCCAACCACAATGGATGCTGCAAAAACATTGACTGGGGCAGAGGATTTTTTTAATTTTTTAACAAACTTCTTCATCCATTTGTTGTTATTGTTTGTACAGGGGCGGGGTGGGGGGGTGTTTGCCCCCCCCCTTGGTTCTCATTAGCTCGAGGACACAGAGGGGACTATTGTTTACTCTATCATGAACAAAAGAACTGTCAACAGAATGTAAACAGTGAGCATTGTTTGGGGTTGTTGTGTTTTTAAACAGTTAAACAGTATATTTGGTGGCCTCTTTGTCTCTTTTTATTTCCAGTTTGATCTTCTGGGTTCGGTCTTGTCTTTAAAAAGAAAAAAAAGGAAAAAAAATCTTTTCAAGAAAGACGATTGGGGACAATTTTGAGTTGGCTGGTGCAAAAGTGGTACCTCTGTAATCAGAGTGAGACTAGGTGTGTCTCGAGGACTCCCGTATTAGCTTCGCGTTCCTGCAAACCTCCCTCGCAGCTTTGCTGCTCTTCAGGGTAGGTTTCTGTTGTTTTGTGTTGTTATGCTTCTCTTCTCTTTTGTTAGCGGAATCAATGTTCATATCCCCTGAACTCTGTACCCCTGAAACCGCGAAGAAGTCTTTTCTAGAAACAGATCATCATTTTTTCCCTTCTCCCCGAAGCTTGTCCCCCAAGAGTATTGACCAGGCAGCACCCACTCTTGTGTCCCCACGGGTGGGCCTCATTGCCTCAGCTGTGTTACGGAGACCTGTGTCAAAACTTTCATCCTGTGTCCCTACCTCCCAACAACTTATCACTTGTGGTGTTCTCCCTAAAATGCCCATATGTATTGAGCTGGTCTTTTACATTTAAGTATTTTTTTCCCTTTTCTTTTTTTTTTTTTACCCCCACTGCGTGTGGGAGGAGGGTCCATAAACCTGAGTGTGCCTTTGCTTTCCACCCTTGCTAGACACTGGTAGATGCAACAAACTCAAGATTTCTATTTGTTGTAAAGTTGTAAAAAATATTGTGATGTCACCAACTTTCCTTCCATCTCCACATCCCGTAACATCTGATTCATGACTTAATGTATGTTGTAAAACAGAAAAAAAAGAAAAGAAAAAAAAAAGGGGAAAAAAGACAAAAAAAAAAAGCAAGGAAAAGGCTCTTTATTACTTAAAAGTAATAAAACAAGACTGTTCTACATTACCCTTTGTGTCCTGAATGCTTTTATTTATCTCTTAGTTTTTTCCTTTTTGAATCCCACCCTCCTGGGGTTGGATTCTACTCTTTCCCCATCGCTGTCTGGTTTCCAGAGCATAAACAACAGTGGGGTCAGTACTCACACCCTGCCCAGCCCTCAACTCCCAAACCAAATTATGATGCGTTTTCTCTCCTTGTACCCCAGCCTGGAGCTGGGTTGTAGCAGAAGCCACCGGTAATTAAAAGGCAGGGCACGCACTGACTCCCTCCGTTCATTTTCCGCATTTTCTTTTTATGGGCTTGTTCATCATCAAACATTTATGGCAGGTTTGATAGTTTAAGAGATCAAGGCTAGGATTTTAGTATGTAGGGTCCACTAAAAATAGATCCTTGCCCAGATGTGACTTAAGCCTTTTTACATATTAATAAGCAGGAGGGTGCTGGATTTCACCCCTTGTTAGCATTTCTCTCTTGTTACCCAGAAGACTGGGGTGGAGGCATATTGGGATGGAACCCTGTTATTTTGCACACTAGCATTGCGAAATGCCGAGATAAGTTTTTCCCCTCTGGAGTATTTTTAAAACCGTTATTTAAATAAGCCCTCAGCCTCAGTATTTTACTTTTGACCCTCTGAAGTCATTTTTTTTTTTAAGTGTTTTAAGTCAGCTTGCATGTGGGAAGCTACGGGGGGGGCCTTGGTTCCCCCCTATAGTGATGCAGTTACCTCTGGGTATTTCCAGCTCCATTTCAGGAATCCCACCCAGAGGGCCAGGTGTGTCAGGCACAAAGCTGTCTAAAATACAGTTCCTGGCTCCTCACTTATAAGGAGACATGGGCAGGCTCTCTGAAACTGCCACCAGGATATAGGAACAAAGTGCTGAGAGAGTGGCCCAGAGGTTGAGGAGCACTAGACTACGTTTGAGCTGGTTCTTTTATTTATTTATTTTTTTTAAGCTTGATTTATGAGCTTAAAAGCTCATTTTGTGAGTGACAGAGCGTGTGAGTGGAGGAAGGGGCGGAGGGAGAGAGAGAGAATCTCAAGCGGACGCTGCCATGCTGGTGTGGAGCCCGACTTGGGGCTCAATTCCAGGACCCTGAGATCATGACCTGAGCCCAAACCAAGAGCCAGACCCTCAACCGACTGAGCCACCCAGGCGCCCCTGGGGTGGTTCTTTAGGGAATGAGCTCTCTGGACAGCTAGACCAGGAGCAAGGGATGACATGTACAAAGTGGCCAGGTGCGCTGCCATTGAGAGACAAAAGGTTTATCAGGCCTGGAGCAGGGTCTATGAGAGAAGCTGCTGGAAGCAAGGCTGAGAAAGGGGAGACCAGGAAGGGGCTGGTTACCATTTGCTGGGAATTGAGCAGAATGGGCAGCAGAGAGCCTCTGGAGTACACGACGCAGAAGCCCCATGTGTCTGTGCTTTATTTTTTTTTAAGATTTTATATATTTATTTGACACAGAGAGAGATCACAAGTAGGCAGCGAGGCAGGCAGAGAGAGGGAGAAGCAGGGTCCCTGCTGAACAGAGAGCCTGATGCGGGGCTGGATCCCAGGATCCTGAGACCATGACCTGAGCTGAAGGCAGTAGCTTAACCCACTGAGCCACCCAGGTGCCCCGTGTCTGTGATTTAGAAAGCTACCAGGCAGCAATGTGGAAAATGGACTGGTCCAGAGAAAGGCCGTGGCGGCGGGGCAACGTGCCCAACGGCACACCGAGTAGGTAGGAGCACCACGAGCAGTAACTCCTCACCTGATTTCAGATTCTTTAAGAAACTGAACCGAATCACCTCTGTGACCGTCCCCCCAATTTGCCAAATCAAAGACCTTCCAACCCTTGTGTGACCCATGGGTTTGCCCTGCTGGCTCCAGCCAAATATAAAACTGAAAGAAGGACCAACAGCTCGTCCGAATTTTTTTTTTTTTTTTTAAATGGGGAAGCTGAGATCCAGGGAATAAAAGGATTTGCCCGTGATCCCAGAGCTGGTGGGAGAGCAGCTCTTCCAAGAACAGATGCATTGTCTCATACCCTCATTCATTTATAACATTAGAGCAAGACTAGCTAGGAAGACCTCAACACAGCCCCCACACACACTGCCCAACCCCTCCCCCACGCCCCCGCAGCCCTTAGAACACGCCTCCCCCTTCCCGGGTGGAGCACCCCAAATGCCTTCTTGGGGGCTGAGTCGAGGGGGCGGGCTGGAGCTAGAATCAGACCGGTTGGAAGCCAGACCATCCCTGCATTGCAACCAGATACCCGCAACGGTGGCTCTCGCCGCAGTCAGCTTTGTTCCGGTCTGGTGAAGGGGTGACAAGAACAGACAGGTGCAGCCGGCATTCTCGCTGGGGCCCCCGGGATCTCCTCGCTCAGACTCAAGAAGTGCCTCAGATAACCCAACTCTTTGATTGTTGCTTGCTGGTGGCAGGGTGAGCGGTTTCTGCTGAGGGCTTTTAGACCGCAGGCCCTAAGGGGTGGCTGTCCCAATACAGCCAACGGGCTAGGCAGCCGAAGGGGCCACGGCTGGCGTCTGAGACCGACAGCTTTTCTTAACCGCCGTGTCAAGGAAATCCAAACAGGTCTCGTAGTTCAGCCTTATAAGTTGGCAGAAGCCACACAAAGCATGGCCCCGGAACCCCAGTGCCTACGTTTGAACTGCCCGAACAAAAGCTCTTTCAAAAAAAGTCATACGGGAAGTTGAGCGGAGAAGTATCCAGAAGGCACCTACAAAGTCAGGCACTGGCATGTTTCTGCTCGAGGGAAAGGGGCGAGGGGAATTTAAAAGAATGCCTCCGTAACAAAATAACACGATTAAGGACATAATCCTCGTCTTGGCTGAGCACGATGACAGCTGGGTGCGTGCACTCGGTAACCCTTAGAAACCCCCATCTCACGCTTGTCTTAACCCCGGGTGGTGACGTGTCTCTTGCACAGAATCGGGAAGGAAGGGCTCCCATTTATTGATCGGGACTGCCAGACAGATGGGGATCTTCAATATTCCATTTAGAGTATTGTGTCTCCTCAGCTCTAAGCCCCCGGGGATGCCTGGGGGCGGGGGGCGGGTGACCTCCACAGAGGGCTGGGCTGCACTGATGTGCATTAAATGTGGCTGGGCAGAAAAATGTGCAGATGTCCCTCTAGCAAATGGAAATGAAATCTGAGCAAATCAAGAGAGGCAGCTGAGTCGTGGGGAGTTCCCCATCCCCCTCTGCAAACACATCCACACAGACATGCGCCCACAAATGCTTATCACGAGGCTTTCTCCTCTTGGGTCTAATACCCAAAACATCCCAGTGGTCAGAGCCCGTGTTTGTGGAAGGGGGACCCTGTGGAAGATCTTTTGCCCCCTTTCCTGGTAAAATGTGGGTTCCGCCTGAGCAC